CTATCTTAGTCATTCAAAATAAATTAAGTTTATAAATATAGGATATCTGGATAAACGGCATTCTATTTTGCTTATATTAAAACCTTATTATAATGCCTATAATTGCACAAACATTGTAACAAAGGTTTCGACGGTATATCGAGAGAGACATATAGAAATATTTTGACAAAACAATGAAAAAGGGACATTGAAATATGTAGAAGCAAGTGGATGTTGAAAATGAAACGAAAAACAGTTTTGGAGTTTTAATTTTAGTTTTATACTCTGGCAAGCCACACAATGACGTATACTTACAAATATTATCTTCCATTCACAATCACGTGTTTGGTTATGTAGTCATTACGGCAACAACACCACGTGTCCCGGTAATGTAGTATTCCTAAAATGTGGGATCATTCAAATACTGTATTCTAAACAAAACAGACCAGAATTTGCATTCCAATGAATAATAATCCATGTCAGATAGTCCGCCCAAATTCGTTTCTATTCATTCCAAATGATAGCTTTTTCAATCAAATGTAAAACAAATTTGTAATCCCTATTTGAACAGGCTTCGATGAGAATTATACTTTTTCTCTTGAGTTGTGATAGAAGATTACCATTTTGGGTTTGGAATGCAAACCTCATCCAGCTCAAATGATTGCATGACCAAAACATGTTCTTGTTTGATAAAAATGTTTGCAAACATTTTTAAAAAACATTAAACCGAACGAATCATCAGGTTAGCTCATGTTGAGCCTAATTTTCAGATTTGATGGTAATGCTACAGTTCAAAGGGTTTTCTTCTCTTAGGCTTAATCAACCAGCAACACATGTTGAGTGAATTAACTGACCGAAGTGTGATGGCAACCAATGACTAGTAGCATAGTGACGCCAGCCGCTGACTAGCAGTGATGTGATGAATCATTTCACTGGTGTTAGTGTGACAACAACACGGAAGTGTGATAACTATATTTTGCTGTTGTTGGTGTAATAACAATACTTTACTGTTGTTAGGGTGATAGCAATACTTTACTGTTGGTAATATAATAGCAATACTTTACTGTTGGTAATGTAATTGCAATACTTTACTGTTGGTAATGTAATAACAATACGTTATTGTTGGTACTGTAATAACAATAACGTATTGTTATTACAGCACCAACAATACGTTATTGTTGGTGCTGTAATAACAATACGTTATTATTGGTAGTGTTATAAGATTACTTCGGTAATCTAATAACAATACGTTATTGTTGGTGCTGTAATAACAACACGTTATTGTTGGTACTGTAATAACAATACGTTATTGTTGGTACTGTAATAACAATACGTTATTATTGGTAGTGTTATAAGAATACTTCGGTAACCTAATAACAATACGTTATTGTTGGTAGTGTAATAACAATACGTTATTGCTGGTACTGTAATAACAATACGTTGTTGTTGGTACTGTAATAACAATAACGTATTGTTATTATATTACCAACAGTAAAGTATTGCTGTTACATTACCAACAGTAAAGTAATAACAATACGTTATTGTTGGTCCTGTAATAGCAATACGTTATTGTTGGTACTTTAATAACAATACGTTATTATTGGTAGTGTTATAAGAATACTTCGGGAATCTAATAACAATACGTTATTGTTGGTCCTGTAATAACAATACGTTATTAATGGTACTGTAATAACAATACGTTATTGTTGGTACTGTAATAACAATACGTTATTGTTGGTACTGTAATAACAAGTCCTCACTGTTGGAAGTGTAATAACAATACGTTAATGTTGGTACAGTTATAATAAGACGTGAATGATGGTAGTGTGATAACTTGACTAGCCGCTGTGTATTGACAAGACTTTCTGGCAGTATGCTAACAGAAATTGACTGGTAATGTTGTAATGATAACCCTGATGTGTTGAAATGACCTTTGCGCCGATGGACCTGTCGTAGTCATTACTTACCGATTCAAATTAGTAAAGTCATTGTATATTGGTGGTGATACATGATACTTTGTATACACTAGGGTCATAGTTATGTTAACCTGTCATCTAATGTGTGAGAAAGCTCGTCAATTAACACTACTGGATAGCATTCGGGGTAGTTAGGATGTTGTTTATACTCGATGTAACAAATTTATTTACGATGGATCCAATGTTCATGCTTTGACAGATGCATCGTTTAGCTGCGGTATGGAAAATAAACCAATGAGACATGTTTAAGTCAGAGAAGCCAGGCAGATCAGGCTATTGTCGTTATCTTAACTGACATCAAATTCAGTTTTACCCTACAAATCCCCAGAGTGTGCTCGGAGACAGAGGCTGTTGATGAAGGTTTGTAGTTGGTTGTCGTGTCAATGAGCAACGCAATGTTTGTCAGGCCTAACAACCAAACCAACCTCGGCGTTCTTATCTACCAATACACTAAATGATGTATGGTACCAGTATGTGGTAATGTCAAATGGTGGTCTAGGTTTGCCCTAAATGATGTATGGTACCAGTACATGGTAATGTCAAATGGTGGTGTAGGTTTCCCCTTTAATGATGTATGGTACCAGTATATGGTAGTAGATACAGTGTATATCTTAGTTGTGGGCATTTTGCTTGATATGATGATCAGATAGAAGATATGTTTAAATGATGGACGGATACCAGTGACGTTTCATTGAGTGTGGGGAATAGTTTGTCTACGTGTTCAAAACATGCGTTTCGTAATGACCGAATGTTTGCGTCTTACAACTCAGGCATGTTAATTTTCATGTGAAAATATAGTTTATTTTGTATAATAAAGCCTACTACATCACCATTGAAAACATCTAAACATACTTTTTTAAGTCACTCGTATAATGCCATGGAACATTTCCACGTTATTTTATATGTGGTGTTTTGTTTACAAGTTCTTGTATGTAATAATACGACCTTGAACCTTCCTTACATTTTGAAGTCTTCGATTACTTAGTTCCAAAGACAAAGTTGCATTCACATTTTTCAATAAAAAAAACTTTTAAGAAAATAACACAATTTCTCACAGATTCGTGGATTTTTAGGTACAAATCAAGTGTTTCTAACACAAGTAAAGTGCAAAAAATCAATAAATTTTCTATTGTATTCCTTCGTGAGTTTAGTACATGTGTTAGATAGGATGCAAATGGGTTCGGATTTGATCACATGTGATATATTGTGAGATATTTAGCAAAGGTGCAATCATCTTATTAAGATAAAAATAACTATGACCTCGGGGTCAACTGATCTAAGGGTGTTTTCAGAGGTGAAGCAAGAAGGGTAAGGGATCGGTGAAACATTGGTAAATACCATCGGTTCTAGTTTTCTGTGGATTTAAAGAGTCATAATCAAGTTGTGATGGTATAAGTTTTCCAACATCTAAACCTGATCTCAAAATGATTGAGTTTTTAATATTACCTAGTGGAAGCGAAGCTTTAATGCGTTGTAACTGCTTGTAGATGACTGAATCAGTTTCTTCCATGTGTATAAGATGCCCCAAAAGTGCAGAACATTTAGCTAGTAGTATTTTAAAAAAAGAAATGTTATCGAATGTCTACGAACTTAATGATGGTAACATGTTGATTTGTTTTTTCCTCTTTTCGTCGTTAGAAATTTAAATTACATTGGATTACTATTTTACCTTCATGTATTGTGTAAATAGTGGTATTGTACAGCATAAAGGCAAAATAGGATACCTTGTTATTTCTTGAAATGTTGTTATAGTAAAATATTCAGGGTTTTTCTGTATTTACTCCCGTCGGTCTTTGTCTACCTCGCTTCATCTATCTCTGTTTTACGGTCCCCACTCTCCCCGTTTTATATATGTGGTTATCGCCATCCGTATATTTCTGTGTTTACCGTGAGCTAGCTGATCTCGTGGAAACCATTTGTCAATGGAGTCGTTGGCGAATGCGCCATAACAGTTCCTGGGTCAGAATCCCTTTTCTATTCCTAAGGTGACAATGAATGTATTTTTGATCAGATATAACTGATTCGTAAAAGACGAACGAACAATGTGTTTGTGGTTTCCAAGAGGTTTCCAAATTGTACTCGGAGGATTCAGTGTGGAGATACTAGTTTGTCGACTTTCGGTATTACAGAGATGGTCCTCATTTACACCACTACGTCACTGGTGATGAAACCATTTAGCTCAGTGATAGATATGTTGCAGGGATTTGTTGGTGGCGATAAATGTCTTCCGCCAAAGTGTCTGGCCCTGATTAATACACTGTCTGCAGACATGACAACACAACGATATCGTATTCAGTAAAAGATATACTTATGCAACGAAAGAACAACAAACAAGCTCATCAGTCATTGCTGTAGTCTTGGAGCGTCACGTGAGGTATATCCGTTTGTCTACCGTACTCCCAGGTTGTCCACTTGATATTCCGCCTCATGATTTATATAGATTTATGACCTTTACTTCCATTCTGATTTCGAATGACATCATTTGTATAGGATGTTTTTTATACTCTCTTGTGACTCATATATTTTATAAAAGAATGCTGATAATCCTGTCTTCATAAATAGTTTGCTTTCCTACGTTCCAGGTCTTCGGTGATCCGGGCCTTTAAGATACAGTATAGGGCGTCTTTTAGTTAATGCTTGTCACTAACGACTCTCTGTGTCGGATATGAGTGTCTCTGATCCTTTGTCTACTCATTAGTTCTACATAGTTTTTCACTTGAACAAAAGAACAGATTGTCATTTCAAAGAAATGTTTTCTTTAGGTCACCATTAACAATCAAGAAACAACCATGTTATTTGTGTTACTTAGACATTTTTGGCAAAATAAAGACGGTTGGGGATCATTGTATCATCGGTTGACTATACGTAGTTTGATTTGTCACCAACCTGTGAACTTATACCTTATTTATTAGTCGATTGAAAATGTTAACAGAAACGGCAAACCGCTGACTTAATATCAATGCTATCCAGCACAGCCTCGTGTGGTCGTGTGGAAGGCGCTGCGGCGCTGTGTCATCGATTGGTTGTTCGCGTTGTACCGGGCTGCTGCTTCAACCAAGCATGCCACGTCGGTACCAGACTTTCGGAGTTGAGGAGAAACTTCTCCGCTGAGTTTGTGTCTGTAGACCTACCTACACACGACCAGGTATTTCCATTGATCGTGTGTGTGTGCCAGGTGTTTCAGAATGAAGTCTGTGTGTCCTCTCAATCGACTGATCTGACACAATTCACTATCATGTTTTAAACAAGTGAGTTTAATTGATCCAAGTACTTGTTTTACAATAATATAGGAGCATCGTGAGAGTTGTTTTAATATACAATCATTAACATTGGAAACATCCTTTATACACTCTAGCGAACTAGCGCTAAATGAGGCGGGGTGTATCACTGAAATGTAGTCCTTGTGTGCCAACCGAATGTTTGACAAAGGAACGAAAGGGAATATAAACTTTAACTCCGGAGTCTACGTGTGATGGTAAGTTGCTGTCAGAGCGATTCGTTTACAGTCGTACAGGTGAATGTATCTCAGTAGGACAATTACGTTATAACTTTTGTCCGTAAGACGTTTTCTTTGCGAAATTGATACTTTGTGTTCAATTTAGTTCTGACTTAATTTGATTCAAAATTGAAATACATTGTAGTTGTTAAGTAGCTAATATTTTCCTCGATTGTCCTTGATTACTTATATATGGGCTAGTCTCCAGTTTTACTAAACACGACATTTGTAGTTATGCCGTTTTTAGACAAAACTGTAAGTAATGATAGACAACCTTCCGCCAGGGCGATGATATTCCAGCCCGTTCTATTGATACAGCTTCTACAATACATTAGTTCAGCAACCAGCAACCTATATATAGTAATATATGTATTTAATACAGAAAAAAGTGGAACATAATTGACACCGGGGACAACTCGATATCGAACCAATATATCAGTGTAGTGGTCAAGTGTACGATAAGGCTTGCCTACAAATGCATGCATTTAAATAGAGTTATTTGTCTGGCTGTTTCTTCACCTTCCCGAACCCTATATTATAATCGTCTTCAAGTCATTCTGAACGTCCCCTTTGATGTTTTTTAACATTGTAGACTTAATAGGCAGGCCTTTCGTTTAATTCCCGTTTATAGTCCATGTCATGTCGTATGATTGATACATCTGTTATATCGGACCACCTTATAGACACTCAAAAGATATATACATGTAACACCTTAATGGTAATAAACTGGTTATACGTTTGGTACCGCCGGAACCGCTTTATTATAAAACAGTTTAGTGCATATATGTTTTAGTTATGAATAAACTTATTCGGATAAAGTAATTCGACATTTTTTGCAGTTAAAATGAATTCAGCATTGATGTTCAAATTTTAAAAATGAATTTATATTTTCTTTTCGAAAAGAAGCCTGAAAATATACATTTGATTTACACAGATTTGTTAAAACAATTTATACTTAAAATTCACTAAATTTTTTTCATAATTCATACAGTCGTTTTTTTTCACATTTTCATTTTTTTTCTGACAATGTTGTCCCTTACCGCTATCAACGCTGTCATAATTGGTGCACGTCAGAAAAGTAATTAATCGAACTCGTTGAACAGTACATACACTACTCGCGCTTGTGACACAGTGAACTTTTATATTATTTATAGAAATCATTTCTGTAAGAAACTGTTTGAATTGTATGTTTTCCCTCTTTCCTCGTTGGATACATATTCAAGCAGTTGGTACATATTTTATGTTTCCGGGATGCTGGCAACACACTATACATAATTTCACTCTCATTGCTTTAATGGTTAAGTTTCATAGTTATCATGTTTATGTAATATAGTTTGTAAATTTTCAAATTGTATATACCCGATATAGATAAATATGATGACCAACAATGACTCGTTCGGGCCACCAGTATATCACTGAGCCTCATGATTGTTCTACTATAAAGATCATGTCATCTCTTTCCCTTCCTTTGTCAATGGTTTTCAGGCCATTAACTTGTGATTGACACCCATGTTTCTGTCTTATGTTTTGCGGAACGCAAAACGATTATAGATGACAACTACTTGCGTCAATTGAGAGTCTGTAGAATCAGTGGATAGTGAAAATTAAAGTTATTTGGGTCGTATTACTTTGAACTCTCGTATCGATTTATCTTTATATGCACACAGAGTATTCATAAACCATTTAGCAAGAAGGTTTGAAATCAATTCACCATGAATTGTCCGCTCGTAAATCCTGGTTTCACTGCAAACTTTCCGTGCCAGTGCCAGGGGGATATGTGAAGATATAAACCAGAAAGCTCGAATCAACATTCGTTTCACAGGTGTAATCAAAGGAAGAAGATTATACTAGATCATGACAAAGAGACGCTTGTTCTTATTCAGACATCTGGTTAGTTAACGTAATCAAAGCAAGAACACGCTTGTTTTATCAGACATCGGGGTATTGCGATCAAGGCAATGAGACGATTGTTCTTGATCAGAAAACTTTTTGATTTGCTAAAAAATTGTACAACGAAAGGATGTCACGGATCAACAGGTATTGTCTGGAACGCTTTCGCTCGTTTCCAAATGATGTTTGACTCCCTATTACTCTACGTTATCAATACCCTGCAGTGGCAACACATTTTTATTGAGATTTAGATTGAAACATGATCATCTAAATTGCAATCAAATCAATATGCCGATTTAAGGAAGGATTAGAATCAGCATTGATTTAATCTAAATAAATCAAGTATTGAAGAAAATTATGTATGTATGTATACGCTAATCTCTTTAAAGTTTCCTCTCTCCGTCCTCAAAACGAGTTAACACGGAAACTTACATCACTGGACGTGAAAGTGTGCACTCCAGCGCTTCGGATTACTCCATATTGTTGACTGTTTACGAGTTTGTCCACCGTAATTGCCGATACGTACGCTTATTTAGTCCGTTATCAAAGGATATTGTACGAGCCGCGACTATCTACTGTGTCATTTGAGGATTGTGTATTAGGTTTATTGCTGTTTTGCCAGGTTTTTGCATCGATCTGTGTGTCCCGCCCCATACCTAACGTCGCTACCACATCGCTTCACGCTCAGCCGTGCTCGCTCACCCTTTTATCGCCTGCCATTCACAGAAATATTGAATGATGAAGATATTAGCTATGGTGTGTTCACGGCGCTGGCTTTGGTGACAAAACATGGTTTATAGGTGCAGTGTCCGATACAAAAGTCCTCGCATTATTAGATGTATAAAGTGGTTGGTACTAAATGTAGGTGGTCTGTCTGGTAACCACCTTATATATACTTAATGTGTATTGCGTGTAATTACAGAAAGGCCTGCAATAAATATGAGTATCACGACAATGCATGTTACAAGTTGTCTGGATAAATCCCGCATCTTCTCAGTTGTACTTACCAAATATGACGTCACGCAAAGACGACGTGCCGTAAGTCTTTCACATTACTTTATGCCTCCATTATGATATATTTTTATTGATGCTTTGAAGTGTGTCCATGTTATTGAGACATTTCATTTAACCGTATAGGGGTTACTTTTGACGTTAGTCCCATACACAAATGTTACATTCTGCCGTAACCTAGGTTGTTTCGATAATTTTGCTTATCATGGTTAAAATTCTAAGAAACGGATATTAATAAAACACGAGTTTGAAATATTTGATAGGCATGGGAAAAACACTCTATGGATGAACGTAATATTATTTGACAGCTATGGGAAATAAGTGTCATCTATGTATGTGATATTGCTGACAGTTATGGGAAATGGGGTTTAGTAATGTATGTGATATTGTTGACAGCTATGGGAAATAGGGATCAGTAGTATATGTGATGTTGTCGACAACTATGGGAAATAAGGGTCAGTACTGTATATGATATTGTTGACAGCTATGGGAAATAGGGTTTAGTAATGTATGTGATATTGTCGCCAGCTATGGAAAATGGGGATCAGTAATATATATGATATTGTTGACAGCTATGGGAAATAAGATTCAGTAATGTAAGTGATATTGTTGACAGCTGTAGGAAATACGGTCTAAGGGTTTTGATGACGTTGTTGACAGCTATGGTAACACCTCTTTTGCCGACATTAAGACATGTTGTCCCTAGTCAATTAGTGACGAGGATTAGGAGCCCGGCCCCGACCCGTTACGATGGTAACACCAGTGACAAGGCTGACAACTTTGCCTAGGAGAATGACAATCTGACAGTTGTGACCTAAAACATGATCGATCTACCGAGACGGCCTGGGTCTGGTAGGCAAGCTTGTTAAGAAGCTTTCAAGTTGCAAATGTATTTAAAAACTGTGTGCCTACACCGTGAATAGGACGTCGAAGTGCACTTGATGGTGAGAGGTTTTAAACAATGATAGCTTGAACCTAAAAATAAACACATCCATCGCACATGTACCTCAACCTATGACGTAAGGACAGCTGACAGTTTTGTGATCTCACTGTAGACGTCCTTAGATTATGACTCTTATTTTGATCACATTATTGTGTCACATTGTTGTACACATTGCACTCAACATGTTGTAAACATCGTTCTGTGTATGTTTTTACTGATATCTTTATGAAAGTAAAGTTGCAAAAATCATAGTAAACATTGTTTTCAAAATGTTGTAAGTGTTTTGCCCAACGTGCTGTGAACATAGATCTGAGCATGTCGTTGCTGATATCTTTATAAAAATAACGTTGTAAATATTTTTTCTGAACATATGTCGTTATAAACATTTTTTTAAATGTTCTGATCATTGTTATCAAGGTGCTGTACTAAGTATTCTCAAAATGCACGGTAATAATAACATTGTTCTAAGCATCGTGTCGTGTTGAACATTGTACAACGCAAATCGTGTTCACGTTAGTTTATACTTATTGTCGTCATAAATAGTGTTATGCCATTTTGTGAAGAAGTTTGTTATGAACAGGTTTTTGTAATTTGTTCTCGACATGTGAATATAGTTCTGAGTTGTCTTTTTGAACTTTTTCTACGCATGTCGTTATAAAAACTACTCTGTGCATGTTATGAACATTAGTCTGAATTGTTTTTGGAAAATATTTTTTAACATGTCATTATGAATATTGGTATCATTATGTTGAAAATAATGTACATGTACTGAGTCAGTCGTTTTGCAAACTATTCAAAGCATTTCGTTACAAAAATAGTTTTTAGTATTTTGTGGAAAATATTGTAAGTATGTTATTATGAAGAGCTCTGAAAATGTTGTTGAAAACATTGTTCAATCATTCTTTTGAGCATATAGCCTAGATGTGAAAATTGTTCTCAGCATGTTGTGAAATTGTCGGTTTGTGAACAAATTTGTCTGAGCTTGTCGGAGTAACTGCTGTTTTAAATATACTTTTATTTAGAGAGTTATCAACATAACACGTTGACTATTGTTCTGGATCTGTAAACATAATACGTACATATAATATTACACTGACAAAGCCGATTATCCTCTATCGACAATGAATACTCATTA